CTGAAACGTTTTTGATGTTAATGGTGCCATTTATCTCAGCCTTAAGTGACTGTTGTGACTCCTGGTTATCCCTCAGATGTGGAAGTCCTATAAATAGGACTTAGAGCTGCAAGTGAGAGGTACATATCATTTCATGCAATCTGATACTCTCAAAAGCCTCACGCATCATATCATAGTTCTCGGTTCTCGACTTCATTCTTGTTCGACTGGACTCTGAAGGCTGGTGTGCTACAGCTTCCGAGTGTTAAAGCCGTTGTATCTTTGGGGACATTACGCACTGACCCGTCAGCACTACACGGGGCGTATTTGTCTTGCGGATAGATTTCAATCGCCTCGGCTCAAATCTCTCCGCGTTCGAGTTGTAATTTCATTTTTTGTTTTAGTTCTTTTGTATGAATTGAACACTTCAGTCAGTTCATAGGTTCCCGTTGTAATACAAAACACAGTTGTGTAACAATAATGGTCTAACAGTAGAATTGCGAATGGATTATACTGCGCAAATAAACTTAAACTCGTACTTTTTTCATTCGAATAAAATATATATTAAGCTCAATTGACACGACTTATGGAACCATGCACAATTATTCACGAATAATGCATAAACATGTATCATACAATAAATACACTTTGGACATATATCAATCTATAAAATTATGGATGACTGCACAAAAGAGCCATCTGTTGGCTCTATAGAATTTATGTAAACTCATATTTTTAATGTACTTGATAACTATATGGATATGAAATGTGATTAGGGTTTTTTTTACTCTCATACCCTAAAACTTACTTATTTCATTTTTATTTTTAGTGGTACAAAAAAAAGGCTAGAACAAGCCTAGGTAACTACCATTAATATAGCCATCAATTATAAGTTTTAAATTAAAAAATTTAATTTTCTGAAGCTGTTTAAAAATAAAAAGGAGAAAATGTTGAATTGAAAGTTGAAACTAGATGGGTAATGTGTTGTTATTATACTCCTACAATGCTACTTTAAGACCAAAAAATGGTCAAAACTTGAATGTATTAATTGTACCCGCTCTTGACACTAAACTAATTAAACAATTATAATTGTAATACAATACTTAATTTTAGAAGAATCAAATGCAATTTTTCGTCTTATTTCGGTCTTGCCAAAAAGTATTTCTAATGTATGATATTTAAAATAATTGTTGTAATATCACTCGTGAATTGTTAGGGTAAATGAGTCTAGTTTATAAGCTTAGTGAGCTACCGTTCCCATCACCAATTGGTTTTGGATTGAACTCTATTAAGGTGCACTCAGACTCACCCTTTTATGGTGCGTTTCACTTAATGAGACCTTCTTCCCCTGGTTCTAATACCAAACCAAGCTGGTTCACCCTCTTATGATGCGATTCACTTGGTGGGACTGCACTCTCTTTTCCCGATTCTAATAACATATCTAGCCTCATCATTTCATGATGCGCTTCACTTGGTGGGACCGCATCCTCTTTACCGATTCTAATAACAATGAAGTACTGTAAGAATTAGAATACCAAGCTAAAATTAATTGCAATATTCTCATTTGAGAATTGGAGTACCAAAATAATATTATCAGTTTGACATTTCAATCATACATGAAAGAACGATGCAATTCTATAATAGAATTTGTCACGTCCAAAATTATTAGTGAAACAACACAAACACGCGAAATTAAATTAAATCGGGGCTAGCAAATGCCGTTTGTCTTCTTCCTATCTTCAATCATCTTCCTCCAAGCCGCCGTCACCTCCCTCTGCACCTCAGCCGCCGTCCTCTTCAACACCACAGACGAATGCTCGCCCTCGCCGTCCAACTCAGCTGCCTCTGCCGCCAGCTTGTCGGCCACCCTGGCCGGTAGCGAGTCGAGCTCGTGTATAACCCTAAGAATATCCTGGACGAGCCGGTCGGCAAGGGTACGTGAGAAGTCCTCGCGGACAACAATGCGAAGGACTGTCACATGGCGTGCATCAGGGGGCATCGTGTACGCGGGGACCACCCAACCGAACCTTCGCAGCATGTCTGAGACCTCGAACTCGTTGTGGCGGCTGTTGTCCCGGAGACTGAAAGCCACCAACGGAACACCTTTCTCCTTCGACACGACCTTGAATTGCCCTGTGCCTTCCAGGGCTTCTCTTACCACGCGCGCGTTCTCTTGGCAATTTTGCATTATGTTGCGATATCCCTATCATATATATCACCTCACTTCGTTACAACTACGGTATAATTAGAAATTTTGTCATGTGACTGGCACTAAATTGAGAAATAGTCTGGTGGTTACGTTGATCTTACAAAACATCTCATTCTCCACCGGCAAAAAACAAATCAATTTGACCGCGCTATTGAGTTTGATATGTTAGTCGGCTACCACGTGTACGAAAAAAAATAATATTCACCTCAACAACCGATCATAGAGACCGGCTTTTGCCTGTGAACGGACCAAAAGTCAGACTTTTCCGCAGTTACATGGTGTTTTGTAAAGTCAACATCACCGGACTATATCTCTAACTATTTCCTTACTATTTGCAGTAGCGGATCAAAATATTCAAACGAAACAATCAATTTACGTACCTCGTAACCCAAGCGAATAAGTTGGTAGTACTGAGCAATTACTTGACTTGAGCCTGACGAAACAATTGACGTTGTAAATTGTAACCAACTTGAATGAATGTATGTAAATCTAATCAATTAGTTAATATTATAAATATGCATGGTACCTTTGGAGAAGTTGAGAGTGAAAGTGGGCTGATCGGAGCCAAGATAGTTGATGTGGAAGATGAGCTCATCAGGCAAGTCTTGTTTGCTCCTCCAAATGACCCAGCCGATGCCCGCGTAAACGAGCCCATACTTGTGCCCGCTCACGTTTATACTCTTCACCAGCGGTAGCCTGAAATCCCACTCCAGCTCCGGGTACAAAAAAGGCGCAATGAAACCGCCACTTGCCGCGTCCACATGTATCGGCGTGTCCCATCTGCGTAAGGTTTACGATACCCGCAGGGCGCGAACTTAAAATTAGATATACTAATGCTATGCTTGGTATCTGCAGAAGTTACTATATAGCTTATTTAGTTATTTATTTTGCACTTAAACAAGTTTGGTTTAATATAATTAATTTTGTACAACAATTTGAGCTTATCTTGCAAGCTTTTCATAAGTAATTAAAAATAAACACGTTGGAATATAATATTTATTTCAATCGACTCATCGACTGATTTTATCAAACACTTTTATTATATCAACTAGCTTCTTAGTCATCACCCATAATTTAGCAGCTATAAGCTCGAATTAATTTATCAACTATCAGCTAGCTTATTAGCTATTATTTTCGATTTCATGTTGCACGAAGTATGCATGAGTTGCACGTGTTTATAATATCGACACACACAAAAAGATTAAGATTTAATTAGGGTTGTGGACGTACCCTGTTTCTCGGTTCTTTTGGTCGAGGAGGTCATTGAGGCGCTTAACGTCCTCAAACTCCCCGTTGAGCGTAGACCCGAGAATGGCGGCCACGCAGATTGTGTTCTCGTCCACCAGCTCGACTGCCTTCTCGGGGTCCATCACATAGTAACCGTCCCTCAGCTTTACCTCCTTAAGCTCCACCTCGAAATAACGAGCAAACTTCTCCCAGCAGACCTGGACGTTGGCCCCCGTGACAATGTTGGGTCGGTCGTGAGGCCGGCCCAACTCCTTCATCTTGTTTTGCCATTTCCTCTTGAAGGCGAGGCCCGCAAGCATTATTGCCTCGGACGACCCAACGGTCCCTACCCCGACAGCAGCCTCATCGTCTCCGAGCGGGGCGTTGAATAGGTGCGCAATCATGTTCACGCAACGGTTCTGGTTATATTCAAAGGGAAACAACAAAAAAAAAAGGAAATAAATTAAGGAAGAAGATGAAGTGGTTTCACTTGAGATTCAAGTTTGGTATAGCATCATATCATAGAAATATAATATTAGTTTTTACCATTAAATTTATTCATCTTTATCATGAGAATATTATTTGTCAATTGGTATATATTCTAAAATTAATAAAAAGAGGAATAAAGGTGTACTATCTCATTCGGGGCATTTATGCTATGGTATGTATAAAGCTTTACAACAAATCATATAAATATGAATAAATATGAACACTCTATATTAAATCTCATAGCATAAATTAATATATATTTTATTATTTTAATAACAGTAATAATAATAATAATAATAATAATAATAATAATAATAATAATAATTCAAGGATACATTATTAAATTACATATATAAATCAAAGATTAATAATAATATTATATTTGATGATAATTAATTAAGAAGTTGCCTGCAACTCAGTTGTGACGGGGTACTCGTCCATGTCAACGTAGTTTTTGTTAATGGAGGCCATAATCAGCTTGTCACACTCGGGCTCCATCCAAGTCGTCACGAACGAAGCGAGGTTCAGTCGAGGGTTCCCGTCCAGCATCAGCTCGTCGTTTATGATTTGATACGCCGCCTCCTTCGGAATCGAATTTTCCGGCATTTTAAACCTAATATTTCATTTTCATTTTATTTTTGTACAAAATAACAATACACCCTTTAATTAATATATGTATCAATAAGAAAACTTCATTTCATCGATACATTTTCAAAAGATATGCGTATTTTTATTTTTGAAAAAATAACAATAATGCAGGCAAATGGTATATCTATTTCTATATATATATATATATTGATAAATGAATTGATTTTGATTTATTTACTTGGGGAGAGTTTCTTGAACATAGCGCGAAGCAAAAGTGGAATGAACGGCGCCGTTTTGGGCTGTGGTCTTGGAGAGAACCATGGTTGGATGTTGAAAATAATAATTTTCAATTTCCAACCAAATAAAAAAAAAATAGGGAGAAGAGAAACAAATAACACTTGCTAGGACCTTTTGTCTATAATTATAATAATAATTAATTTGTTCTTGGGTTTAGATGTTGGGGTTATATATAGGGAGGGAAAGTAGG